AGGGAGGAAATATTAGTATCCTCATTGCACAGATGAGGAAGTTGTAGCTCAGAGAAGTTAAGAATTTGTTCAAGGTCACACAGATAGGAAATGGCAGAGCCAGCACTTGAACTCAGGCCTGTCTGAATCAAGGCCTGTGCTGTTTCTACTATGTTATATATTTTATAAGGAGCTCTGTTGGTGCAATGCCTAAGGCATTTGACTGCTAACTAGAAGGTTGGCAGTTCAAACCCAACAGCCACTCCACAGAAAGAAGAGTGGTCAATCTACTTCCATAAAGATTTACCATCTTGGAAACCCAAAGAGGGTCACTATGAGTCAGAATCAACTGGATGGCAGTGAGTTTGGTTTTTGGGGGTTATGCATATTATAAATGTATATGGTGGAACTTTATAAACTATAGAGAGCTTTTGAGATGTGAGTCAGTTATTCTCCCTAGTAATTGCCATTTTTTTCTCCTATAATGGACTCTTGATAAAGAGTATTCATGGTGAGGTCCCAGAGAGGCTACAAAATCCAAGAATTCTAAAATGCCAAACACTGTGCTTCCATGGAAAGTGTATCCCAGCAACCTCCACTTCTGTAGAAGTAATTAATGTCTGAAGGTCACAAGAAGTTATGCCCAGTAAAAATCACTGTAGGAGTTAGACAAGATGACCAGGTCCCTAGTTTGTCACTAGGTTAGCCAGTATGCCTGCAAGTAGCCTCTTTTCCACTTTCCCATGTCAAGTCAGAGAGCTGGATTCCCTGGGCAGTATGGCTCCTGAAAAAGAGATCCTGGGGATGAGAACACCAGACCACACAAATCACTTTTAGGCAGGGAGTTTTTCTTAGTGCCTAACCATATGCAGCTGAAGACCCACCACCCTCACCTGGGTCTGCATTTAGAAGGGGGGAAATGGAAGAGTTTGGGCCTAAGCCTGCCCTCATCCCCCTACACCACACGGGTGGGCACAGGACAAGCATGGTCATGGATGCTTCTGTTTGACTGCTGGGATGATGGAGGGGATCCCACTGAGATATCCAGAGGTGGACAAAGTGTAGATCCAAGTCCAAAAGGCTCCACACAGCATTGGCGTCACTAGCAGATTCATTACCGGAAACCTCACGGGGCATTTAATCTCCTAAGTATTTCAAGGGGTGGTGAGCACTTCAGAGCCTAATTCATCTTCTTTGTCTTCATTACAGAGAGCCCTCTGAACGCCTTAATCCTCCCTCTGCCACAGGAGAGAGTCATTTGTTTCTTTAATGGGTGTGCTCTCACCAGCTAAGTGGTTGCTTGAGCCAGGGCAGAAGGTGAAGCCATCCTGAGGGCAGAGAAACACAGGACAGGACGTGCCTGACTCAGACCTGGGTGAGCAGGAACAGCTCCTGACTTCAGATGCAGAGAACGCTGCCATCTGCAGAGCTTGACCAAATCCTCTCCCTTCACTGTGCCTCTCCTTCCTGGGAATCAGAATTAGCCAGTCAGTCCCCCTGATGAGAAGAGGGTCTCTGCACAGAAAGCCACAGGATGTCCGAGGTGGAAGAGGCCATGCCCATTTTACAGTTGATAGGACTCCACTCCAAAGATTCCCCATTCAGTCTGTGTGCTATACTTTCTAATGTCCATAATAATAATAACATAGCCAGAGATAACATACTATACAAAACATTGTTCCACCTACTACTTTGGCAAGTAGCGACTGGGACCTTAAAAGCTAGGAAGCTGCCATCTAGATGCAACAACGGGTCTCTCCTCGTCAAGAAGAAAGAAGAAAACCAAAATTAATG